GTGTGTGTATATATATATATATATATATATATATATATATATATATATACACACACACACACACACGCATCATAATGTGCTGGGTGGGGCTCCATCATACGGTGTTTAAAATCAAACACCTGTGTGCGCAGGTGTTTCTGCATGTTGGATGTATTTCCTCCCGCGGATGTAATTGCCACTTTACATCCAAACTTTCGATCGATTTATCCGATGGGACGCCATTTTTTTTGTTTTGCTTTTCTAGACTTACGCCTGGTCACGTCGTACTTGCTTACTGAATGCCGTGGCGTAACTTGCGTAAAAAACGTGCCGTAACTTTCGTAGAAAACATCACATAAGTCGTGCCGCCCAGCTCTAGGCTCAGGTGCTGCCTGGAACCGTTAATAGAATCGTTAAGCGAGCTGCCAAACGGTGCCATGGAATTGGTACACACGGAACCGGTTCTGAACAGGAACCGTTTTTCTATTCCCATCCCTAAAAGCCACTCTGGCATTGAACACAGGAGAAGCAGAAGCATCAGACGCTTCTGTACACCCATCCATCCATTTTCCTCACGCTTATCCCTTCTGGGGTGCTGGTGCCCATATCCAGCCTTCAATGGGCGAGAGGCGGGGAACACCCTGGACTGGTGGCCTCTGTACACACGTTACCAAATGAGCTTCAGGAGCATCAAAGATGCTCTTAAGAGATGTCTGACCTTAATGTGGACAAGCATCAAAAATGAAGAAGCAGGAGCCTCTTTGCTGCTCAAATTGTTTTGGCGCTAACGTAACATTACCTCCTGTATGGTTGCAGCTTATGGGCAAGTCGATTGATGGTAGCTACAGACAGACAAGAAAAATAAAGAGATTGGAAAAGGAACTATAACTGCAGTGAAATCTATAACTGCAAAACAGCTGTTGTTTTAAATTTTCTGAAAATCACACTCATTACGCTTAATTTCATTTTAATTTGTAAAAAGAAATGAATAAAAAAAATGTATTAAATATGTCATGACATCAAGGTGATGATTTACTGGTGAATATATATGTCTGCAACTGGCCAACCTTACCCCCTCCTCATTCTCCAGGTGTCCCCTGCTCAGCCAACAGGAGGACGGCGGCGGCGTGCATCAGAGATGGACCCTGACGAGAGAAGGCAGCGCTTTCTAGAAAGAAACCGGGCAGCTGCATCTCGCTGCAGACAAAAACGAAAGCTGTGGGTCAACTCCTTAGAGAAAAAGGCTGAAGATCTTGCCAACATGAACATCTCCTTAACAGTAAGTAATCAACAGATTGTGTCTGAAACATTTAAACATGCTTAGACGGGTCTGAGGACTGAGTGAATGGCGTGCTGTTTATTTTGTGCTGCCATCAGAACGAAGTGACTCTGCTAAGGAACGAGGTGGCACAGCTGAAGCAGCTCCTTCTAGCTCACAAAGACTGTCCTGTCACTGTCATGCAGAAGAAGGCCGCTTTTTTAGGTAACCTTTCCAGATCATTGACTAGCAATCAACCTGTTTGATCACTTCTTGAGCCAGGACTCATCCACCATCTCATCCATCTAATGTGTCATTTTTATTCGCTCACCTCTCTAAGGGTGAATGTTGCTCTGTCTGTCTGTAGCTGCAGGAGGAGAGGAAGCCTCAAGGGAGGCTCCCACTGAGCACATCGGTTCCCCAGCGGCGGTCATTCAGCATGTGCCGTCACCCGCTGCCGTGTCCTCGAGCCCAGGGCCCACAATAAATGGACTGAGCGTCCGAGCTGCAGAGGCAGTGGCCATGTCGGTGTTAGCCGGCATGGGCTCGGGCCAGCCTGGAGGAGTCGTCATTGCACCGCAGTCACAGCCAGCCCCGAGATGATGTGTGGGCTGATGGCAACCAGAATGAACTCCAGTGGCGTTTGGAGGCCAGACCGATGCAAAGCTCGTCGTAAAGAGGGAAGCCACCCTCACTACATAGATGCCCCTTCCCCTGTAGTTACAGTAATCACACAAACACATGGCGACGTACCTTTTGAGAAACGCTTCATCATTCTGTTTGTAAATATTGAATTACGTGTCGAACACTTACTCTGCGGGGTTCGGGGTCAGTTATGACAGTTGGAAATTATTTTAGATTCACAGGAAAAATATGAAAAGGGTTTTTAACCAATGAATAATTTAATTTCAGTTTGGAAAGCTGCATCAGTCCAACTTCTTCCCACACTGGTTGTGATGAGGTTTTGTTTCTTTCCAGGCAAACGGTTTTACTGTAATATATCTTTTTTTGTACAAAAAAAAAGGAAATATAACTTCTGCATTTGTTTTTTTGTTTTGTTTCAAGGATAAACAACCTGTTGAACTTGCCAGTGTTTTTCTTAGTAAATATATAGGAGGTTTTTAGCATCAAATAACCCCAGATGTGGGTAACATTCATCCGTCATGATTGGTAATGTCTGCCATAATACACAAAGTCCTGTAAGCCTCTTCTTTGCACTTTAATCTTGGGTTCTTTCCAAAGGTTTTTATTGGTTTTAAGTCTTTCAAAATGGCAATGTTTTGACATAATTGTCTTGTCCCTTTCCTCATTTTCCCTTTCATTCAACTTTGCAAGATTCTGAATAACAGAACCACATTATAATGCTCCCATCTCCAAACTTCACTTTTTAGTATTGTATGTTTTTGGGGTACAGCACAATTTGTATTTTCAGGCATTGCCCTGTGCAATCACCTGAACTGTTCATGGTTATACTTTGAAAAGACTTCAAGTCTTTCACTAAATGTCCTTCAGCAAACCTGAAGAGTCTTGTGCTGGAAATATAATTAGCATAAACCAACCTGGTTAACTTTTCCTAAATGTATTCAATTTGATCATGTAAATTCAGTTTCATTGATTTCTGTGAGTGGATTAGGATGATTGTTACTCACATCTGGTGTTGGTTTCATGTCTGAAAAAACAATTTGATGTATGTTTACTTGGAAAATATTCAGGTAAAACTTTGTTTATGATTTATTTTTACTTTGTGTAAAACCTTCCTTGAATGCAGTGATTGCATTCTAGAAACTTTTATTTTTTCCCCCCTTTAAACACGTTTGTCTTTTTTTTTTTTGAGTCAACTCTATAAATGCACTCGGTGGATGTTGGTTGAGTTCGCAACAAACCGTAGACGTGAACACAGTTAATCCTGTGATTGTGTGCCCTTTTTATTATTAATATTTAACCCATTTAGAATGGATATCATGATATTAGTCAATCGTATCAACCCTAACTGACTGCATGGATTACTTCAGGCTGAAGAATACCACTGTTTGTACGTAGCCCATTATGCTCTCACTGTTTTTTAACATCCAGCTATAAATGTGAAAATTGTCCCGGCTCTCTAAGGATTCATTTGTGGCCCTGAAAGCTTTGGACTATTAGAATTTTAACTGATAATCAAAAGTAACAGGTTTTAAATCCTTTACCCAGGCATTTCAGTTGAGTAAAGAGTAGTGCAATATATTTTTCTATTGAATATCGATGTTCTTGCTTTGAGTGGACATGTAGAGTCGGACTGCTGACAGGGTTTGCGCTATTTCAGACAAACGCTACAGTAACGAGGTGACCAAAGGAAATGTGAAGATTATTGTTGAGTGAATGGATCGTGGATCAGTACACATGTAAAGTTACACATGGTCTGATTTAGAGCTTTGTACCATTATCGCATTATTAACCAGATTAATTACACATGCAAGGTGCTTCTCTTCATGTTCTTCTGCAGCTTTGTATTATGGCAATGTTCTTACAAGACTATCACCTTTTTTTTTTTTTTTTTTCTTGTAACCATTTTAGAAAATGTGTTTTAGTTTATTTTCTCTGTGGGAATGTTACGGTTTTATCCTCCGTGTGATTGTATTGGTTCTTTTTCTTTTAAGAGGTTTTTATTTTGTTTTGGTGTTTTAAGGTTGAACTATGTTGGGGAGCATTTTGAAAATATCTGTGGAGAAATACTCAGGCCTCAGGATGGGAAATAACTTGTGTATAGTCTCGGCTAATAAATACATTGTCTTGGACAAATGAAATAAATTAATGCGCAACAAAAAAATAAAACATTGTTTTATTCTTATTTGGCTAGATTCTCAGCACTTTGAAAGGTTAAATACCAGACTACTTTTTGAATTGAAAGTAAATTGAAGTTTCCTTATATAGTTCTGTTCATGTATTCGGGGCTTTTCTCTTTTTAATGTACTTTTTTTGTGTGCAGGAAGTACATACCTTGGTTACCCTGTCTCATATGAAGAAAAAACATTGTAACACTAAGTTGAACTCCACAAAAACAGTTAATCTGCATGTTGGGAGAGGTTTGCACTTTTAAGATCAGTTTTGAGTGCTTGCAAGGCAAGTTTATTTGCATAGCTAAATTCATAATAAGGACAATTCAAAGTGTTTTACATGAAACAATAAAACAGAAGCTAAATAAAAGCAAACTTAAACTAAAAATGTCTCAGTTAACAGCTTAACAGTCAAAGGCAGTTCTAAACTAATGAATTTCCAACTTTGACTTAAAAGAACTCTGACTTTTAAAGCACTTTTACAGTATTCTAGTTTGTTCTAGATACAGCTGAGCTTCAACTTCCATTAAAGACGGAAACAAAAAGAAGCTTATTACTTTTGTAAATTGAAATTCACAACAGTAATAATTATTTTTTTAAATGATCATGTTATTGGGCAAAAAATATGTAGATGTATGTATGTATATGTTTATATATATATATATATATTTTTTTTTTTTTTTTTTTTCGAAAACAAAGAAGCTGACAGGCAATGACTACTATTAAACCCCTGATCTAAATTGCTTAATTTCTCTGGGACAGTTTTTTTTTTTTTTTTTTTTAATAGAAAATTTCTTATTCAATATTTTACCCAATTATCATTTGGCACATTTTTATTTATAATTACTACTTTCAGTTTTATGTTATTTGAATTACTGTGAATTTAAAACGTTCTCTAATGGGAGGGTATATAAACTTTAAGCATAACTATAAGTGGAGTAAGGAACAAAATACTTCTTCATGTTTGGTTTTAGTTCTGGGTGTACAGAGAAGGCTTGGAATAGAAGACATGAGTGGCCTGGGAGGTTGATACACTGACAAAAAAATCTATTAATGTATTAAGTTGTTAATTTATTCAGTCATTAATGGACTAACAGAAGGATTTTAAAGTCTATTCTCTGAGCTACAGGGAGCCAGTGGAAGGACTGATGTGCTCTACTTTCTTAGCTCTAGTGAGAACCCGGGCAGCAGCGTTTTACACTTAAAGCTTTTTCCAATAGAATTGTAGTAACACGTTCCATCTCAAATAATCAATAGATTTTTTTTCTTCATTCTGGAAAGACCACTTGTTTTCTTGATTTAGAGAGGGGGCTTTGTATTAAGTGAAAAGAAAAGACAGCAAAAATATTTTTGCTGAATTTCCTATGAGAACAGAGGACGTCTTAGTTTTCTTGAATTTATTAAAATGTAGGAAATATCTACGGTATGATCATTTATTAGATCTGTAAAAAAAAAAAAAAAAAAAAGCTTTTGTTGTGAGAGGCCAGCTGCTACCACCAGGGGGAGCAGTGGCTCCACTTCCTGCCTCCAAAGGGTCCCATCACACCGGGTCACGTGACTAAAGGACTCCTCTCCACTGACTTGCTCCCATCTCCCTCAGTCATGGCGGTGTTCGGGAGTCGTGGAGATGGAGTAAACATCACCCTTTCCACATCTTGATAGTGTCTCCTGTAGCTGGATAAAAACCTTCCGCCGTTGGAGCGACCAGATCCGATCCGATCCATCCTGTTGGCTGCCGAGCTTCCAAGGATGACCGAGCGCAGCGTCGATCTGTCGGCTCTGCCGAAAGAGGTCAGGGACCAGCTGGCGGAGCTGGACCTGGAGCTGTCCGAAGGTAGGCTGGACTTCCAGGCAGACCAGAGGCTTCTGGAGTTTAACATGGTGTGGATTTGATGTGAACTGGAGAACAATTGGCGTGTTTATGTTCCCTTAGGGGCTGACAGCCTGTCACCTGGGTTAGTCCCAGTGAATGCAGTGGGTTTAGTCACGAATTTATCAAATGATAAACCCACACCGACCCCCTTTAAAGCAGCCAATCCTTCCTATGTGTGCAATTAAACACAAAGATAATCATCTATAGTTTATGTTTTGATCACAAATGACAAATGCAATCTTGATTTTATTCTAATCCACATTATCATTAATCTATATGAGCATCTACTAACTCTTGTTGTTGAATGTGGGTCACATTTGTCAACCCAGAGGCCCTGTGTGATGATGATGATGATGATGATGATGATGAGTGGACAGATGATGCTGTGGCCCATCCAGCATCCATCTTTTCTTCTCTACTCAGGATCTGCAGCACATATAGAGGGCCTATACTGAAAATAACATTAATGGAGGAATATAGGGAATATGGGTCTGACTGTTATGCAAGTCTCCTCGTCACGCTGTGAATCACTAGGCAGAAAGTTGATTTGTGCCATGCAGTTCTCTGATGCCTGGAGGAGGATGAGTAATGTAATGCTTCACACAGAACCAAGACAGAGAAGGTATGTGCCACTAATTATGTCTTGGTCCCTGAGCTGCAAAATAAACATATACCTTTAGTCCTACTGACTGTAGGAGCAAAGGTGAAATAAAAGCTTCACATTGCAGGATGTTGGCGTTGAATGCATTCCTATTATATATTGCACAGCTATACTGAAGCTGAATTTATCCTGACTGCCAAAATAAGGACCTGTTTTGTTCATATGCTGCTAATACTTTCTTTTAACCATTTTTGATCGCTTGATTACCCTTTACAAATTGAGTCCTCGGTGAGGTCTAGAAGCACAAGATCTATATTTAGCACATTCTGCAAAGATACTTCTACATGGCTGTACATTATTACTTTGGCATTTGACCAATTAGATGAGCTTTTGAATGATGTAATACCTACTGTACATCAAGTTGGAAAAAAGTTAACAAGAAAAAAAAAGGTAATAATCTAATAAGCCTCGTTAACAATTATATTTAGGTTTATAAACTAAAAAATGTAAGTGCCAGTATCAGCATTAATGCCTCTAAGGTTAGGTTGGACCAAAAAAAAAATCATTTTCTTTTACTCTTAGACAGAATTTCTCATAAAGCACTTTTGTTATTTTTCTTAATATGTTTGAGCAAGTTTGTGTTTCTTGTTATTACGTTAACATTACATTTTGCCATCAAAATATCCATGTTTTTTTTTTTTATCTTACAGAGGTAATAAGGTCTTT